AGTGTTCCTTTCAAATGAAGAACAGTATGTATTTTCATCTCTTCTTTTTATAAGACCCTGCTTTATTATTTAGAAGATTCTCAATGACCTTTGATCTATATCTGCATCATCCAATACAATAACCACTATTTAGTACCTCAACTGCACTGCCATTGTTACAAGTGCTCAATAGCCACATCACTACCAACTACTATACTGGGCAATACAGATTCAGAACACTTCCATCATTAAAGAACTGTCTGCTGGACAGCACTGATCTAGAGGTTGAGAGGCAACTAATATAATAAACAACTAAAGGCTGAAAGTCAGATGGACCCAGCTATAAAAGGTGACAGTCATCCAGGACAACCAGAGTTCAAAACCAGGTCTGACTGATTCTTAAACCTATATAAAAAAAAAAAAAAAGAAAAAGAAAAAGAAAAAAAAACAATTAATTTTTACCTTATTGTCAAAATTACAACAAAAATACACCTCTAAAAATACATCTGAGAAGTCTAGGGTAAAAGAAATGTATAGATACTTGGCAACTTCTCTGACACTTAACAAGTCATTTAACTTCTCCAGAGCCCCAGACTCATCACTGCAAAATGAACTAAGACATTCAACATTGCAAGGCTACTAAAAAGATCAAATGAAAACATACGTAAAATGTCTACAACAGAGTGGCTGACACATAGTAAATACCTGATAAACATTAGCTGTCTTCTGTAAAATGGGTGATAATTTCTGAAACTTTGATTTCAAAACTTTTAAGCAATTACAGAAGCAGCAGTTTCAAAGTAAGAACCTTACTGTCCTGCTTGTTCAAAAGGGCAATGAGCTTCACATCGTTAGAGTCAACAAAAATTTTTTTAGTTCTTACCTTATCCAACTCTTATCAACACTTGACCCAACTCTCTCTCCTTGACATCTCTCTCCTTGTAACACTCTCCTCCTTTGGTTTCTGTAACACCCCGTTTACCCTCTACTTCTCTGATCTTCACAGTCTTCTCTGGGAGCTCACAATCTTCTAGCAAACTTTTTTAAATCTTAGAGCTCATTGTGATTCCATCCTAGGCTTTTTTTTACTCCAACCTATATTTCCTCCCCTAGGCAATTTCATCCATATCTATAGTTCCAATCACCTGTATGGGTGACTCCAGTTTTCCATGTCCAGCCCGTACTCCTCCTCTGAATTTTAGAATCATATATCTAATTGCTTACAGAAATTTCTACCTGAAAACTCCAAAGGTACCTTAAGCCTGATATGTCAAAACCAAAAAGAGCTCTGTTCCTTATCCGGTACCACTACCAACCCAGGAGTGCAACCCAGAAGTAATCTTTGAAATTTATTTCTCACTCACTTTCAATCTACTGAGGCCTGCTGGTCTCAAATCCCATCCACTGAGCACATCCCCACAATTATGATCCTAATTTAAGTTATCCTCATCTCTCTCAGACTACTGAAGAAGCCTCCTACTTCTCCCAGATCTCTTGCTACCTCTCTCCTCCCTTTCAATACACATCATCGCAATCCTAGTTCTGCCTTCTGGAGCTAAAGGAAATAAATATGGCTTCCAAATTACATTTTTAACAATAAGATAGTTATACTGCTTGACATGGTTTGGTTGTGTCCCCATCCAAATCTCATTTTGAATTGTACTCCCATAATTCCCATGTGTTGTGGGAGCAACCCGGTGGGAAATAATTTGAATTATGGGGGTCATTCCCCCATACTGTTCTCATGGTAGTGAATAAGTCTCACAAGATCTGATGGTTTTAATAGGGGTTTCTGGTTTTGCATCTTCTTCATATTCTCTTGCCACTACCATGCAAGAAGTGCCTTTCTCTTCCCGCCATGATTCTGAGGCCTCTCCAGTCATGTGGAACTGTAAGTCTTATTAAACCTTTTTCTTCCCAGTCTCAGGTATATCAGCAGGGTGAAAACAGACTAATACACTGCTCTATTCTTAGCTAAGGCATTCTTAGTTCCTTCTATATTAAGACAAATGATAGTTTCAAGGTCACATAACGTCATACTCCTCTAAAAACATAGAACCCTTGGACTGGGTGTGTTGGTTTATTCCTGTAATCCTAGCATTCTGGAAGGCCAAGGTGGGAAGATTACTTAAGCCCAGGAGTTTGAGACCAGCCTGGGCACTATAGTGAGAGCTGTGATCACACCACCGTACTCCAGCCTGGCAGACAAGAGTGAGATGCTATCTGAAAGCAAAAACAAAACCAACAACAACAACAAAAAAACATGGACCCCTCAAATGAACATGGCCCATGTGCATGGATATAAGTAACCTGGCACTTTATGCCACAGATTGAGACTTGCTTAGTCTATTAAGTTTCAAACCACAATCATTATTTGTAACGTTTATAGCTGAAAGCAAGTTAATTCATTAACTTACATGTAAGGCATTGTTCAGGTGTTTAGGGGCAAAACAGTGACCAAAACTGACAAATGCTGATCTCACAGAAGATACATTACAGTGAAGAAAATACACAATAAACAGAGTTAGTAGATTATGCGGTATGTTGCAAAATGATAAAGGCTATGGAGAAAAATCTGGTGTAAAAATAGATAGTAAATATTGAGGAGATGGGGGGAAGGCTGTTGTTTTCTACACAGTAGTTAGAGGAGACCACAATAACTTAGGGGAAAGGAGATTGGAGTCAGAGAGGAAGAAGAGACTCAAATCATAGGGCCTTGTTGGCCATAATAGTATGGAATTTACTATGATTGAGAAGGAAAGCCATTTGAGAATAGAAGTTACATGACCTGACATTTTATCAGGATCATTCTGTCTATGGAGCGTTAAAGACTGTAGATTGGCAAAGGTCACAGTGACTTTTTAGGAAGTTATTCTGCAAGCAAAATAGTGGTTGTGTTTTTACATTCTGCATTGAATTTCTAATGTGTCTATGTACCAGGAATTCATAAAGTTCATAGCCAGAACTTAAAAAAAATACAATACAAAGATGACTTTTGAGAATAGTAAAAGAATGATATCGGATATTTTAACTCTGGGCTCTACTCAGTAGTACTAACAGTTACTACTGCTCAGAAGCAAGACATGGTGCAAAGCTATTAATTTATTTTGGGGGGCAGACTAATAAAAATATGGGTTTTAAGTTTCTTTATTTCACTGGGCAAGGTAAGTCAAGACACAATTAACATCATTAAAAGACAAGAGCAGACGAGGGCAGAGCTTTGCTAAAGGGACGTTACAATAAAAATTATTCTACAGTTGACTTTCTTTTTATTCCTTTTATGCCTGCCACCCTCTTTAATTAAGGCACTACAACTATCTCTGATATACCTTAAAAGTTCAGTATTAAGTTGATGGATAGTATAATACTGTACTTCCTTATTACTAAAAGATGTTATTGATGATGAATCAACAGTATCATATAACTGCACTGATTCATCCTATCTCTGCTGAATAAAACCACAGGTTTTCAAGAAAACTGTCTTAAGCTCTAGTTGGTGCCAAAGGACGATGGGGAGCTGAGTAACTCTTGAAAAGTTTCCATCTTAACACACTGTCCCCATTACCACATGAAGACATTAACAGAAAAAAAAAAAATTCTCCTTAAAATTTTCTCCATGACATTTTTTCAGGCAACATATTTAGAAATTTTACATTTTCTTCTAGTTTTCTTCCCTTTTATATTGAAAAATGTCTTTAAACCACAAGTATACTTACAGTAAACAAACATTCAAATTTTACCCCAATGAAATTTTAAAATGTACTCAAACTCTCAGGCAAAAAGTCACTATTTGAATGTGAAAAAGTGAATGACTGTTAAAATATTTGCAAGCACCAAAAAATATTATGGCTAAAATGCAGCTACCCTGAGAACTAGTATTTCTTAAAAACTCACATTGCATAAAAAATATAAATTCAGATTATTCGATAGAATATAAAACAAAAGCAATACAAAAGTTTAAAGATTTCATTTCTCTTGCCCAATCAGTTGAAACAACAAAAACAAAAGGCCCATAAAGTTTTTCTTGCATCTTTTGACCAAAATAGTGAGATGATCAAGCCAACTGCCAAACAGGAAAGAGAAAGCAATTGTTTAGAAACAGACTTAATTACGTGTCAAAACTTTAATACAATAATAAAATGCAAAAACCAATCGTTATTTTAAAATGTACTGCCCTGATATTCTGCTGCTGAGATAGGTAGTCATACGTATAAATTCATTTTTCTTTTAAAATGAAAAAATAATGCACCTATTAACAAGCATTTCCCAACATACGGGGGAAATTCCCAAATCGGAGAAAACTTAACATCAGCATTTACTACACAACGCATTAAAAACATTTTTCAGCATTTTTGCTAAGTATCTTAGTTCACTGGTAGTGTGTTGGCCAAAATGTAATCCAAAATGAATGAAAAACACTCAACTGGTAGGCACTTATGTAATACCCTACGGAAATATACTGGGGGTATTTCAAAACTCAACATTTGAATCTGTGAATGTCTAAATCAAGTACTCTAAACTAGGCGTCTACTTTGAAACAATTTTTCAAAATACATGTTACATCGATAAGAAATCTTATTAATGACTCAAAATTCCTAGGTCTGAGAAGGGGCGACGGATTAGGCTAAATTTAGATTTCCAGGCCCGGTAGTTGTCAGCCCAGGCAGCGAGTTTAAAACATTGGGGGTTGGAGAATAGTTTGTAGTTCAGAGCACCCAGTGAAAAGGCTGATGCTTAGAAGCGCCGGTTCTTCCCCATTCGTGCACTTGAGAGGTCACAGCGTAGTAAAGTTTGGTTTCACAAGCGGGCTTGGACGCTCGGGACCAAAGTCTCCCAAGAAAAGCCGATACCGGGGTCGGGAGTGCCCGGAAGCTCAGCAAGACACGTTTCCACTGCAGGGAGGAGAGTGTCTGCGGCGGTTCTGGCGTGGATCCCCTTCTCCCCCCGCAGGACCCTGCACCCGGGCGGGGACAGGCATCGCCAGCTAAGGCGGCGGGAGGCGCGTAGGCCACAAGGAGGAAATGGGACGGAGTGCGACAGAGAGGCGGCCGCGGCGGCCCAGAGCCGGGCCTCCCTCGCGGGGCAGCCAGGGAAAGGGGCCCTCCCGGCCGCAGCCTCCCCCACCTGGAGAGGCAGCTCCAACTTTCCTCCCAGCGCTCGACACCGCCCGGGCCGCGCGAGATTCCGAAACTTTGTCAGTTCTCGCGTCGCTCCAGGCCAGCTCCAGCGCTCTGCGCCGGCCTCTAACCCTGGCCTCGCCCCGACAGCTGCCCAAGCCCATCCACCCCGCGGGTCGGCCCGTGTTTACCTCAGGCCGAAGTCGAGGCGCTCGGTCCGGCGGCGGCCCCACAGTAGGTTTACAGGTCCCAGTCAATCCGCCGCCAAGTTCCCCAACATGGACTCCTGCGTCCGCTTTGAGGGGTTACAGGGTCTCTGGGACACTGACTCCGGTGGCCCGGTCCAGAGGCGGCAGCTACCCAGGTTGCGCTGCTCCGCGAGGCTTGCGCCACCGCTGCTCCCCCTCACCCCGCCTTGTCTAGCCTCCTCCCTCCCCTCCTCGCGCGTCTCCCTCCTCCTCCCTTCCCTCGCTCCGCTGGGCTCCCAGTCGGCGCGCTACGGTGACGACGGCGGCGGCCAGACTCGCAGCACTCTGCCTACTCGCGCACTCTGGCCCTGCGTGCACGTCCGCAGCACCCAGCCAGACCGCAGGGGGGCGCTGGCAAACTGCTGTTTGCGACCGAGGAGTGTGGTGGGTGGAGTCACGTCACGAGGCCTGAGAGCGGGAGGAAGGGCAGCTGCGATGGAAGCGCCTTCTGGGAAACGTCCTTCCCGCCCCGCCCTCCGCCCACACCGCAGAGGGTGCGCATGCGCCGCGCGTGGACTTTGGCTTCAGAGTTCCTTTGGCGGCTTTACGGGCTGCGTCGCGGAGGACAATGAAAGAGGCTTTAAAGGGACTGGACAGGAAGGATTTTGCGTGGGGTGTGCTCTTCTATCTTTATGGTAATCTGATGCTGAAAAGAGTGTCCGTATGTTTGCAGTGGATTACCTGGCGGCGTTGCCCACCAGATGCAGCCCGCGGGGTGAAGAGTCGGCACCTTTCTTCCTTTCTGGTGGGCATTTTTTTTAGATGCTGAGGGCATAGCTTTCCTGATTGGCCGAGCCTAGGGGCTTTACCACGTCTTAATCCCACATCACAAAATTAGATTTGGGCCAGGTGCGCGGTGGCTCTCGCCTGTAATCCCAGCACTTTGGAGGCCGAGGCTGGCAAGTCGCTTGAACCCAGGGGTTCGAGACCAGCTTGAGCAACGTAGTCCTCCTTTCTACAAAAAATAAAATTAGCCGGCCGTGGAGGCGCGCGCCGGTGGTTCCAGCTCCTCTGGAGGCTGAGGTGGGCTGCGGAGGTTGCAGTGAGCCGAAATCGCGCCACTGCACTTCAGCCTGGGTGACAAAGTGAGACCCTGTCTCAAACAACAACAAAAACTTGATTATGATTTACTTTAAAGACCTCTGCTTTGTGGTTAGTGACCCATGTGCCATACTCCACTCCTTCCCGGCGGGTTAAATGTTTTGTTTTACCTCAGAAGTATTTTGGCTTTTTCAAAGTCACTAACTTTTCAATCTCCTAGTTTCTCTTCTCGTCGACTGCAGCAAGCTCCCGGTTGCCCTGCCTGCCCTCAGTGTCCCTCATCTTCTACCAGCAGTCCTTCCAGTCCTCCTGCCCACGCCATTGTCCTTCTTGCTGCTCCCGCGGGACTATGCTCTGCTCCCTGCGCGCGGCTCACCCAGGTCCCAGTCGCTTTCATCCGCACGCTCACACATTTTCCTGTCGCTGCCCCCGTTTTTCCTGTCGGAGCGCGCTGCACTCTCCCAGCCAAGCTGACCCCTGCCCGGGATGTTTCCTCCTCACTTTTCCTCGGTCCACCGGTCAGGCCGCTTCTCTGCCGCATCCGCGCAGATGCCGCGTCCCCTCCTCCTGCCCTGAGGACGTCGCTTTTCTGGCAGTCTCATCATACGCATTCTGTTGAGTCTGCTCACTGTCTAACACTGTGAGGATTGGAACAGTATCTTATCACTTTCATAACAGCGCCTGGCACTTGCTGGAGGAACACATGAGTGGCAGCCTTGTCGCTTTCAAAGTCTTTGGAGTTTTACAGTGTACTGTTTTTTATATGGGGTTTGGGAATTTAGATGGCTTTACTATATTTGGGATATTTGAGGGAAAAATGGTCTAGAGGCGTTAAAATACTTTCTTCTGATGGAAGAACAAAATTCTTACGAAGAACCTTTCCCTGTCACAATCAGAGCAAATAGTACAGAATATATATTATTTGATATAAAGAATGATTATAAAGGATGATTGTTAAGAAAATTAGCGTGGAAAGATATAACCAGATCAACACGAGCCATCCAACAGAATAAGGTGTAGCTTTACAATCTCTAGGTTACCTATGCAATCTCTAGGATTCACTCTAGAGTCCTGCCTTAGGAGTGTAACTCCTGATGTGGACTGCTGGTGCAACATTCTTCTGTGTATGTTTTATATTTTTAAAAATCTCAGTTTTGTTTTAGGAAAATGTTCTTTCTCAAAATTTAAAGCCCAAATGATAAAATCTGCCAAGTAGAACACTATTTTAAATTGATAACAACAATTTTAGTTTCATCAAAACTAAAAGATGCCAAGTGTTTTGATGTATTTATTTCCTAAAAGAGAATTCAGTTTTCACGTTTTTACTGTTGGCCTCCTAGATATCATGTGAGCATGTCTTAAGGAAAAATACTTTTAATGTCATTGTGGTTTCTGCTTGCTTTCTGGGATTACAGGCATGTGCCACCACACCCAGCTAATTTTTGTATTTCTTTTTTAGTATAGTCGGGGTCTCACCATGTTGGCCAGGATGATCTTGATCTCTTGACCTTGTGATCCGCCCACCTTGGCCTTCCAAATTGCTGGAATTATAGGTGTGAGCCACAGTGCCCTGCTGGTTTCTACTTTCATGTGCAAATAGGAGAGTGGTGGTTTGTAATAATCTCCCCAGAGAAAAGACCATGTGTATTTCTGTATAAGCAACATCCTCCTCATTATGTTTGCACGTAAAGATTTAGTCTCTATGATGTCATATTTTTAAAACTTACAATATAATAAAGAGGTACAGACTTCTAAATCAGTAAAAGATGAGCTATAAAATGGAGGAGTAAAGTTGATATACCAACCATCACTGTCAACATTTTAGATTTGATTTTAACTGTAAAAAGCACAAATGATATGCATCATAAAACAGCCTTCAACTGAATGTCCGCTTGGTGTGTTGCACTTTACCAGGAACTTAAAATACCAATCCTGTATCACAGCAACAGAAATCCACAGTGGCATCTTTAAAATTGATAATCAACATATTGATTTTGATGGAGCTTTGTCAGAAATAACTGCTATTTTAATTTAACTATTATAAATAGAATACAATGTAAAATTCAAATTAAGGGAGGAAATCATGGTACAAGTATACTGGATTGAAAAACATGAGCCAATTCCCCTAATAAATCCCCTGTCATATATCTATATATCCTAGTAGTTCTCTTTGCTGCAGTCTACTTCTTCATTTCAGTTTCTATTTACTTTTTTTTTTAAAGGTAATAAGCATTTGTTTTAACAATTCAAACAACACAGAAGTATGTAAAATATACTCAGAAGTATGTAAAGAAAAATAATTGTTTTCTTCTCCCTATCCCACTCCTAGACAAAACCAATGTTAATAGATTGAAGTTTCTCCCAATACTTTTTCTAATGTTTTAAAACACATAAAGGTTTTCATTTGTATATTTATAAATAATCACACCGTATATATTTTTCTTCAATTCTAACTCAACAATTCCTTATAAATATCTAGCCCATTCTCTTAACTAGCTGCATAATATTACATAGTATTAATGTACAATACTTTTTTTGAGACAGGAAGAACTCGCTCTGGAGAACCCTAATACAGGAACCAAAGACAATTTCATTAAAGAGCAGGTAACCCAAACCAAATTCAGACAGGTATTATTCCAAATTTGAAGACTCTAGTACACACTCAGGTTGATCTTCCATTCCCGATAGCACCTCTTCTACATGTTTATTGTTCCCCTCAAGTCTCAACCTCACAATCACTCCTGCTGAGCTCCTTAACCCTGAACTCAGCAAACGATCTCACCACAGTCATTATAAGAGAGAAACTCCTCAACTTCTTTCCTTTTACCAACAAAGTCTATCTAGAACTGTGTACATCCATGCATACTTGTTTTCCTCTATCACAGAAGAATTTTCTGTTCCCTTGTTTAACCCATTTATAACTGAGGTTGCAATTTTTTGAATTTTTGCAGTCAGACCTCAGTGATGACCTTGAGCAGTAGGGTATAAATAACTCGCACGTGCTTAGTGTTCCAATAATGGAATACTCGGTATGGCTTAGCTTTCTACTTGTGCCATAGATCTGGTTTTTTCAGACATTGGGATTTATAGGCCATTCACATTTCTATCAGTCTGAAAACAGATACAGGGCTGGTAACTTTTTACTCTTGACAAGTAACAGTATATATTTGTAAAGTCTTTCCATCTTTTGTCACCATGATTTCTTAAAAGAAATGCATTTTCACCCAAAAAACTAAATTTTATGAAATACTATTCTGTTTGTTTACATTTCCCTGTGGAACAGTGAAGCCGTCACAGCCCTAGTACATTTGGGACTCTGCTCTGAAACAGATCCCTTCTATCCCCTCAGGATGTGGATCCATGAGTTAGTCTGCCTTCGATATGTTTAATGCCTCCTTTACTGAAAGCTAACCTATGTCTCTTTGCTCCAGGTTTTAAAACAATTAAAATTCTAAAACTTTTTCATTTCAGTTTCTGTTTACTGTTTTTAAAAGGTAATAAGCATTCATTTTAACAATTGTAACAATACAGAACTATATAGAATTTATTCAGAAGTATATAAAGAAAAAGATCATTTTCTTCTCTTTATCCCAGTCCTAGACAAAACCAATGTAAAAGATTGATGTTTCTCTCAATATTTTTTCTAATGTGTTTTAGAAACATATATGTGGTTTTTATTTTTATTTTGACAAATAATCACACTACATATGTTTTTCTGCAACTTCTTCTAACTCAACGGTTAATTATAAATATTTAGACCATTATTTTAACTAGCTACATAATATTATATAGTATTAATTGACCATAATTATTTTTTTGAAATCTTGCTCTGTCATCATCCAGGTATGATCATAGCTGACTGCAGGCTCAAATTCCTAGACTCAAGTGATCCTCCTGCCTCAGCTTTGCCAGTAGCTTAGACTGCAGGCATGAGCCACCATGCCTGGCTAATTTTTTTTAATTATTTTTAATAGAAACAGGGTCTTGCTGTGTTGCCCAGGCTGGTGTCCAGCTCCTGGATCCTCAAGTGATCCTCCTACCTCAGCCTCTCAAAGCACTGGGATTACAGATGTAAGCCACACACTTGGCCTCTTCTATCATAATTTTTGAAACTTTTCTATTGACAATACAGATTTCTCCAGATTTTGTGTCATTACAAGTGATGCTAGAATAAATATCCTTATATGTATATCTTTTAAAAATTATGCATTTTTGTATAGAATTGATCCTAAAAGTGAGATTGTTAAAATCCTACATATGTGCTTTTAAAAATATATTTTAATAGATACTGCCTGTAGAGAGGTGTGAGGTTTTATGTTTTGTTGTTTTGTTGGTTTTTTTTGGTAACAGTTTTCCTTAGATGAATTAGTCTTCTTCCTCTCTTAATCTGTGGGTTACAAATGGAATGGGGTCCTCCATTAGCTTACACATTGGACTTTGATTCAGAACTGGCTAATAAGAATATAGTACCCTGGCTGGGCGTGGTGGCTCACACCTGTAATCCCAGCACTTTGGGAGGCTAAGGTGGGCAGATCACCTGAGGTCGGGAGTTCAAGACCAGCCTGACTGACATGGAGAAACCCTGTCTCTACTAAAAATACAAAAAATTAGCTGGGCATGGTGGTGCATGCGTGTAATCTCAGCTACTCAGGAGGCTGAGGCAGAATCACTTGAACCTGGGAGGCAGAGATTGTGGTGAACCAAGATCACACCATTGCACTCCAGCCTGGGCAACAAGAGTGCAACTCCATCTTAAAAAAAAAAAAAGAATATAGTAACCCATTAGTTTTAATGGTCTGTAGTTCAGGGATGGGCACGTGATTCAGTTCAAGCCAAGCAGAATTAGATCAAAGACATTTGTTCTGTGCTGGACTTGTCAATGTGAATATGTAAGCTCCCTTCACAAACAGATATACTTTCTGAGAATGACTTCTCCTTGGAGGACAAAAGTAAGACATGAAAAACAACTAGGTTTTAATGATACCATTTAGGTAACCTAAATACAGCTGTGTCTAGACTTTGAGTTATGTGACTTAATAAGTAACTTTGTTTGAGTTGGGTTTGCAGTTACTTATAGCTAATGCTGTTATGACTGACACACTGCCAGATTATCTTTACTCTAGAATTATTTTAGTTCATACTCCAATCTAAATGTAGAAGAAACCCATTTCCCACTCTCTTGCCAGGACTAATGCATAAATCTTAAATTTTTGTCAGTCTGATAAGCATTAAATGCTCTCTGTTGTTTCAATTAGCTTTTTGCTGACTACTAGTGGGGTTGAATTCCTTTCATATGATTTTGGACTATTTATAGTAATTGTTGTATTTTTGTATTGAGTTTTTATCCTTTTCTGATCTGTCTATATGATCCCTTGTGTATTACAACTCTTAACACATACAGCGTTCCATATGGGCAGGTACTATTTTTTCTTTCATAATGATCTTTGGACTTTGCTTATGGTAGCTTTTGTTATAAGAAAGTTTTAATTTTAATATTGTCAAGTCTGATCTGGAAAAAGTCACTGTGACCTCATAAGTGCCAAATAAAATGAACTCTTTTTTTTTTTTTTTTTTTGAGATGAAGTCTCCCTCCATCACCCAGGCTGGAGGGCAGTGACATGATCTCGGCTCACTGCCACCTCTTTTGCCTCCTGGGTTCAAGCAATTTTCCCTGCCTCAGCCTCCGGAGTAGCTGGGACTTTAGGCATACACCACCACACCTGGCTAATTTTTCTATCTTTAGTAGAGATGGGGTTTTGCCATGTTAGCTAGTCTGTTCTTAAACTCCTGACTTCAAATGATCCTCCTGCCTCGGCTTCCCAAAGTGCTGGGATTACAGGCATGAGCTACTGCACCCAGCCTACAATGAACTCTTTATAGTCCTCAGCAAGCAATTATCTCATATTGGTACCTGCTGTGTACTGGGCTCTATCCTAGGCATGTTGTCCGTGCCCATAAAGAAATTACAATTTAGTGCAACAGTCAAACAGATGAACATAATTAATATGTCATTGATGCCGACGTTGGGTTGGCATTATGGGCTGAAATGTGTTCCCTGAAATTCATGTGTTGAAGCCCTAATTTCCAGTAACTGAGAACGTAACCATATTTGGAGATAAGATCTTTAAAGAGGTGATTGTTCTAAAATGAACTCTTTAGGGTAGGCCTCAATCTAATATGACTGATGTCCTTATAGGAAGAGGGGATACAGACACAGATGTGTGCACACAGAAGGAAGACCATATAAAAACAGAGACAAGACAACCATCTACACGTTAAGTAGAGAGTCCTCAGAAGGAGCAGTCCTGCCAACATCTTGATCTTGGACTTCGAGCCTCCAGAACTGTGAGAAAGTAAATTTCTGTTTGTTGAACCCTACCAGTCTATGTTTTTTTTGTTTTGTTTTGTTTTGTTTTGTTTTGTTTGTTTGTTTGTTTGTTTTATGGCAGCCCTAGCAAACCAATAGAGTTTGCCTCTACAACATCCCTTCCATTCTAACCCCTTGTGTACTAGTCATGTGATTGTGGGGGGCGGGTAAGGATTAAAACATGACACCAATTCCAGGAATCAGCCCTGGCTATTTTAGACCATTCAAGGTAATCCTACACTTCTTGCTGCAGTGGATAGTTTAGGAAACCCAAACATTCCTTTGGTCAATTTGCATCAGTAATACTTGAAGAGCTGGTGACTCTGAGAAAGACTTTCTTGTTCTTCAGATAAAGCTACTAAAAGCTTGCTCTCTTCCGTTTGGATGATGAGAGGTGAGAATTTAAACCTGGAATTACTGCAGCTACCCTGTTATCATGAACTAGCTTATCTATGGAATAATGCTGCCTCTGTGGAAGGCCTAGCAGGGAGGTGGAGCAAAACTAGTTTCTTGTTGAAATGGGTAAGCCACTGATCAAATAAATTCTGGTACCTGACTAGTTATGTGAGCCAGTAAGTCCCCTTCATTATTTAAGCATTTCGGTTTTTTAAAAATTTACAGTAGTAAGGGTCTTGGCAGTTAAGGGACATGTGAGGAAAGGAAACTGTCACAGGTCAAATTCCCTGGGAAACACTTTGACATAAAGTATTAGAGTGCAGAAATTTCACTGGGAGGTGCTCTTAGGATCCACCTAGAGAGAGAATAAAGAAAGCAGTCTTAGACAAAGGAAGAAGTTGACCTACAGTGAAGTCCAGCAGAGGCCTCAGTCATTCCTATAGGGAACTCTGAAGACTATGCCATCTCGTTGACCAATCATTTTGGCTGTACATAGAAATGTGAGGAGGCCCTCTTCAGCAGAGGGTAAGTCCTGGTGAAGGATTCAGTTGAGAGTTGTCAGCCTTGAACACTTTCAGCATTTGGTGGAATGACTGCCTCAGTCCTGGACTCGGGGAAATCTACTCTACACCATGCAAGATACCCACTACTGTCTACCTCTCTAAATATAAGATCTAGGAGCAGCTCTTCCAAAGTTCTGTTGCGCTTCCAATAAATTTAGTAGAAGAAGGTTGGTGGGATTAATTACAGCCTTGAAAGCTGCTCTTGGGACCATAATTTTTTTATTTTATTTTATTTTTATTGTATTTTAGGTTTTGGGGTACATGTGAAGAACGTGCAAGATTGTTGCATAGGTACACACATGGCAGTGTGATTTGCTGCCTTCCTCCCCTTCACCTATATCTGGCATTTCTCCCCATGCTATCTCCCCAACTCCCCACCCCCTGCTGTCTCTCCCCTATTTCCCCCCAACAGACCCCAGTGTGTGATGCTCCCCTCCCTGTGTCCATGTGTTCTCATTGTTCAGCACCCGCCTATGAGTGAGAACATGTGGTGTTTGATTTTCTGTTCTTGTGTCAGTTTGCTGAGAATGATGGTTTCCAGGTTCATCCATGTCCCTACAAAGGACACGAACTCATTGTTTTTGATGGCTGCATAATATTCCATGGTGTATATGTGCCACATTTTCCCTGTCCAGTCTATCATCGATGGACATTTGGGTTGGTTCCAGGTCTTTGCTGTTGTAAACAGTGCTGCAGTGCATATTCATGTGCACGTGTCCTTATAGTAGAATGATTTATAATTCTTTGGATATATACCCAGTAATGGGATTGCTGGGTCAAATGGAATTTCTATTTCTAGGTCCTTGAGGAATCGCCACACTGTCTTCCTCAATGGTTGAACTAATTTATGCTCGCACCAATAGTGTAAAAGTGTTCCTATTTCTCCACATCCTCTCCAGCATCTGTTGTCTCCAGATTTTTTAATGATCGCCATTCTAACTGGCGTGAGATGGTATCTCAATGTAGTTTTGATTTGAATTTCTCTAATGACCACTGATGCTGAACATTTTTTCATATGTTTGTTGGCCTCATATATGTCTTCTTTTGTAAAGTGCCTGTTCATATCCTTTGCCTACTTTTGAATGGGCTTGTTTGTTTTTTTCCTGGTAAATCTGTTTTAGTTCTTTGTAAATTCTGGATATCAGCCCTTTGCCAGATAGGTAGACTGCAAAAATTTTTTCCCATTCTGTTGGTTGCCGATTCACTCTAATGACTGTTTCTTTTGCTGTGCAGAATCTGTGGAGTTTGATTAGGTTGGGGCCATAATTTATGCTGATCATCTCCTTCCTTCACTACCCATTCTAGATTGCCCTCTCTGCTGGTCTAGGTAGCTGCTATGGACTGAATGTTTGAGTATCTCCAGAATTTGTATGTTGAAACTAGTCACCAATGTGATAGTGTTAGGAGGTGGATGATTTGGAAGTGATTAGGTCTTGAAGGCAGAGCCCTCATGAATGGAATTAGTGTCTTTATTAAAGAGATCCCAGACAGCTGCCTTGCCTCTCCCACCATGTGAAGACACAGCAAGAAGGCACCAGGAAGTGGGCCCTCACTAAACACTAAATTGGCTTGTACCTTGATCTTGGATTTTATAGGCTACAGAACTACAAGAAATAACTTTTTGTTATAGGCAGAAACACACTAAGACAGTAGCTTACCTAGTAGAATAACTCAAACCTTCTTCACTGAGGGGCCCAAGTTCTTCATTGCTGTTCTTCTAAGGTTGTAGCTGCTGGACTTTTCCATGGACATTGTAAATTGTGCAAGCAAAAAACAAGAAAAACACAAATGGATCACTTGGGTATCAAACATACTCTTTCCTATATCTTTTGTGGGACAGCTACCTTACTTAAATCAAGATCAATTACCCTTACCAGAATGGTGACTCCTCTCCTTGTCTGCTGGTATCTTGGAATGAGAAGACTGAAATGACCAGGCAGCAGCTCTAGTTTAATGGGACTCTTCCTGTGTCTACTAGTGGAAACGTTTTCTCTCTGGTAGCCAAAATCTCTTAACTTATAGAGAAAAAAGGTACAACTTCCCTAAGTGAATCCCTGGGAACCATAGTATACGGAAATATTCCTACTTCCACTCTTTAGCTCCTAGACTCTTGCATTCTCATTGTGGGGACCCCAATACCATACAATGAATATCAGTTTAGAGTGCACTGAGTCCTTGCATATGGTGCCTCCTACAGGGTATTCTTTGCAAGCTAGCACCCCAGCTGAACCTTTAACAGGTCATCCCAATGCTCAATCAGTAGCAGTTTCTAGGTGGTGTAGTATATGGTAGGACCAGTGGAGCCCATGGTCCTGTGCCCACTGCTGCACCAAATCCTAGGTCAGTGCATCAAACACTTTAAGCCCACAGTGGTACTATCTGAGACCCTTCAGGCAGGAGATCCCACTTGGAATATGTTTAAATTCCAATAAAGATAAATTGATGCTACTTCCAGGATGGAATGGGTCCTGTGTATACAAGTTGCCACCAAGTAGCTGGTAGGTCTGCTGAAGGAATGGTGCCACATTGGGGACCAAGCATTGGCCTCTGTTGCTGGCAAAGTGGACATTTGACAATGGCGGTAGGTAGATCAGCCTTGTTAATTGGAAGCCATAATATTAGGCCCATGTGTAATCTCCATCTGTGCACCTATGGCTACCCTTACCATGTGCTTATTGGGCCAATACTAGTGTAGACAGACTTCTGTGTGGGCTTCAGGTGCACAACCTTGAGTAGAGTAGAAATCACAATCCACTTTTGCAAAGGGCAGGGCACAGGGGGTGTGGATCCCATCAAATACCTTGATGTGGTCCAAGGTATCCAGGCCTCACTCGGTCTTATAGGGCAATATGCCCCTCTTGGTTCAGCCAAAAGATGCGATTAGGTACCCAAAAATAGAAGAGACCCAGAAGTGGTAGGGGCTAAAGAGAAAGTTGATGCTTATGGTCTTGTGGAAGGTTAAATACTGAAACTTGTTTCTATAGAAGTTGGTGAAAATGCTGATATCCTTGCAGTACAGGACCACCAACTTCCTGCCCAGTGGTACCTGCTTGGCTGTTATGACCACCAGACAACTCAGGAGAGGCCTAGGCCATCCGATCACTAGAACCTGCCTTTTCATCTTCAACAGCCACTTAGAAAAGGCCAGGAACTATTTTACCAAAAGGATTTAAGTAGGTACTGCAGATGGCATGACCTTGCTCCAGAACCATAGAGATCTGTGTTGTGATTCTTCAGATGGGACTTGGCATAAACTTTCTTTATTTTTACAAAGGCAAGGAAATTCAAACATTGAAATGCATAAGAAAATACAAATATTTCTAAATCCCATAACTGGAGACAATTTGCCAATTCATCAATATCCTAGTGGGCATTCTTTTAAACCTTTTTCTGTATATTTATACAAATAGAACTATGCCATAATTGCTGCTTTTTTTTAATTTATTTTTTATTTGTCATTTACTTTGTTTATAAAGACAGGGTCTTGCTCTGCCACCCAGGCAGGAATGCTGTGGCAGAATCAAACTCACTGTAGCCTCCAACTCCTGAGATCAATGACCCTCCCACCTCAGCCTCCCGAGTAGCTGGGACTATAGGCACACCACCATGTCTGGTTGTTTTTTTGTTGTTGTTGTTTTTCTTTTTGTAGAGACAGGGTCTCGTTATGTTGCCCAAGCTGACTTTAAACTCCTGGCGTCAAGCATTCCTCCCTCCTCAGTCTCCCAAGGTGCTTTGGTTATAGGCATGAGCTACTAAACCCATCCAAATTTCTGCTTTTTGATTAAACACTATGTCAATGAATTTAGATGTATGTCATTCCTTTTTTGGGTGGGAGGAGATGTAACATAAATTAACCAGTTTGCTATAGGTAAAGAGTTCTTAATTGCGTGGTACTGCCCTCTAGAGTATGTTTTGTGTCTAGACTATTTACATGATAAATGCATATTTTGTTATAAATTACTTTTTTTCTCATTGCAGTTATGTATATTTTGTTGTATGTGCCTATGACTTTCCTTTCAGGACTGTAAGAGAGTGTTAGAAAGTATTTATCATGAAAAGGGCACAAAGTCAGCTAG